TGTGGTAGCATTTGCTTTCCATGTTGAATATTTGAGCTGCTAGTCAAGTGCTCCAGGATGGGTTCCTCCCGCTGTGCGTGTGGCACTTCAGAAACTGCTCATTGTAGCAAAGCAGTGCTTGACCAAGAGCCGCCCTCCCTTGGTTGCCCTTACGGTGTTCAGGCGGTTCCTCTCCTGAACTGGTCAGTATTTCCAAGCTGACAATTGTCTGATCCGGTGTGGCTCTTCCACAGTTGACTTACATCGTTGCTTAATAATTAACTTTTCGTCATGTACACCACTTCTTCAAAGCCAGATTTTAAGTTTCTTGAGCATAGAGGCTAAGACTTACACTCAGGCGTTCTTGCCAGTGACTTGGATTAGAATCCCAGCATGCCCCTTCCCAGCTAGATGACCTGGAACAAATTCCTTCAGCTCCCTGTTACCTAGCTTCCTTATCTACATAACAGAAGTGATGGTGCCTGCCTCGCAGGGCATATTGAGAGCCAGCTGTCTCAGTCCTGGTGCCTGGGGGCTGCTGGGTGAATGATAATTCCAGCGCCTTAGACTAAGCCTTGAACACAAAAGCTGAGCAAATATAACAGAGTTGAATTATGACAAGACAGGATTTAAACTTGGGTAAGAGGCTTGCTCTTCAAGCCCACATTCTCCCTTGAATGTGTAGCTCACTTGCTTGTCCCCGTGTTTCTTTGCTTTCTATTTCCACTCTGGAGAAGCTTGTGTTCTCTCTTAAATACATACTTCTCTCCCCTCACATCTTTCTAAGTAAGCTCTTTGTTTAATTAGATCATCGTGACTTACATAGCTGCAAAGTTGTTCACTATTAAGTTTCAGGTATACAATATTCCAGCACCAGTCCTTTCACCAGTGTCCACTTCCCCCCACCGATGTCCCCCGTTTCCTTCCCATCCCCTGACCTGCCTCTACAGCAGGCCCTTTCCCCTCCACCCTTGTCCTAGTGTTCCCTTCCCTAACTTGTCCCGTGGGCCCTCTAAATAAGTTTCAATGCAAATGATCTAACTTCGCCTCAATAAATAAACTGATGTAAACATAAGATGTTTTTGAACTCGACTAATTTTATGGTGACATTTCCTCTGTTCTTGGACTCAAATGACAGTTTACTACCTTTTTTGTTTGTGACTGTTACTGTTTGTGACTGTATTGTGACCAAGTGACAGTCTTTTCGCAATCATCATGTCCCCTAATCCCAAAAGCAGGGCACTCTGATTTGGAACGTGGTCCCCGCTGGCTGGCTTTCTTGGCCAGTAAACTCACTGACTGCAGCTCATCCCCGAGTGATGCTGGCTCCAGTTCCTCACAGCCAAGGGACAGATGGTGGCACGGAGGACTGATTTCACCATCCCCCCTGGCTTTCTGTGGCTTCTTTAGAACTTTTATTTAGAAGCAACCTCAGGGGAGGACAGTGGTGGGCAGATGAGACCAACAATCTCAAAATGAAAGATCAATGTTGATGAAAATGAGAGGGTGAGGAGACTTTATCAAAACATCTGTACGTTCAGCAGGTAGGGTGTTTGCCTTGCATGTGGCCGACCTGGGTTTAGTCCCTGGTATCCCATATGGTCCCCTAAGAACCTCCAGGAGTAATTCCTGAGTGCAAAAGCAGGAGTAATCCCTGAGCATCACTGGGTGTGACCAAAAAGCAAAAGAAAAAGACATCTGTACGTTGAGCTAAATCTCCCCACGTGCTAGATAATAAGCACCTCTGCCAGCACCCCAGAGGTGTATGATGTGCTCTGCACTGGCCAATTGTCTTCTTTCCAAGGGACCAGCTCCACCTGGACTCTGCCATTTCTCTTTGGGGCCAAGCCATGTCACAATAAAGAAATGGGTTTGTGACTTGCTTGTTGCCTCTTTTGGCTATTTATAAGTATACCCTGATTTGGCCTGGCAAGCTCCCCGTGGTGTATTTGATATGCCAAAAACAGTAACAGCGAGTCTCACAATGGAGACGTTACTAGTGCCTGCTCGAGCAAATCGATGAACAAGGGATGACAGTGCAGTGCAGTGCAGTGCAGTGCTACCCTGATTTGGAGTCCCCTCTCTGGCACCCTGGGAGAAAAGAACATAAAGCAGAGAAGGTATATCACATTTGCTGCATTCATTACCATGTTAGCTGAGTAGGACATAGAAGGGTAGGTCGGACGGTCCCTTTCTATGACTAGTCCTAGATGACAGGGCCAGTAAGGACTCTTGTCTGCCTTGGACTAGTTGATTGGTTTGCCCTGTGCACACGATTCCTTCTCCAGAAAACAAGACCTAGCACTCACCAGGCAGATGGCACGACTCCCTTCCATCCCTGGGGTTGCTGACCAGGGGCACAGTGAGACTTACAGTGCTTCCTGCAGGCTTCTGTTGGGTGTTCACCATGTGAGGGACCCCAGTTAGCTGTAGAGTGGCGAAGGAGCACGAGACACCTCTGTTCTGAAGGCATGTGCTATCTCACAGTTAAGTGTAACAAAGGGGAATTTGGCGAGATCACCCTCACAGACCTTTGAGAGGAGTCTGTCAGCCATGGCTGTATGTGTATGAGAGAGAGGGAGGGAGGGAGAAAGTGTGTGTATTTAACAAATATCTCTGGGATTTATTATCTGATAGCATTTTTTTACTATAAAATGAGATTTAAAGCATTTCCTAAAATGTGAATAATTAGATAGCCCTTCCAGTTAGATAGCTAAGAAATTACTCTTCTTAAACTGCTAATGGGTCTGAAATAAGAAATTTACCTTATCACAGGGGGCCAGGAGGATGGGGGAGGGGGGGAGAACAGGGAGGGATGTAGAGGATGGAGGGGGAGGGGACATCCCATTGAATAGGACAGTTCTGGGGAAGACATAGTGCAAAAATGTGTTATGCAAAAAAAATTATCAATATGCCAGACACAGTAACAACAAAGTCTCCAATGGAGACGTTACTGGGCCCGCTCGAGCAAATTGACGATCAACTGGAGGGCCATTACCTTTACCTTTTAAATGTTAGAAACCACAGAACCTAAAATAATTTTTTTTTAATTTAAGATGAAAAAAATGAATCCGGAGAGATAGTACAGTGGGTAGGGCACTTGCCTTGCACATGGCTGACCTGGGTTTGATCCCCAGCACCCAATATGGTCGCCCAAGTACTGCCAGGAGTAGTTCCTAGCACAGAGCCAGGAGTAACTCCTGAGCATTGCCAGGTGTGGCCCAAAAAAGAGAAGAAAAGTCAAGAAAAATGACCCCTACCGGAAAGAATGCAGCAGTGTTAACTCAGTGCTCTGCTGGAGATCACAAGCCACTTCCTCGCTCGGTTAAGTCCTGGCTGTACACTCAGGAATTACTCCTGGCGGTGCTTGGGGAAATATATGGAATGCTGGGGATCGAACCCAGGTGGACTGCATGCAAGCCAAAATGCCCTACCCACTGTACTATCACTCCGGCCCCAGGGGGGGCATCATTCTTTCTAAGAGGCTTGGAGAGGGTTCCCAGAGGAGTCAGTGCCACACTGAAACTTGAACAGCGAATGTAAGTCCTCACGGCCGTCTCAGCTCTGCGTGCTGCCATGAATTTAATCTGTGTGGATGCCCGCTCCAACACTTGCCGGTTCATCTGGAGGTGCTCTTATCCCCCAACAGATATTTTTAAATCACTGCTGCTGTAACTTCCATCAACAACTCTGTGATTGCTGCTTTCGTTGATTTGCACACATCATTGCTCAACCTTCTCCCCTTCTTGGGGAAACAGGAGCATGGATAGGGGTGGTGTTGTATGTCGGTGGGGGTGGGGGGTGTCAGTGTTTGCAAAAAAAATCTAGAAAACGTCTGACTGTGGGGCCAGAGCGATAGCACAGCGGGTCGGGCATGTGCCTTGCACATGGCCGACCCGGGTTCGATTCCCAGCATCCCATATGGTCCCCCAAGCACTGCCAGGAGTAATTCCTGAGTGCAGTGCCAGGAGTAACCCCTGTGCATTGCCGGGTGTGACCCGAAAGGAAAAAAAAAAAGGAATGAGAGCTTGTCCCGAACACCAGCAGGGTTGGCGGTTTTCTTCTGAAAAAGTGTAGGTGGTCCTCAGCAGTGGCTCTCTGGTTGCCTCAAGTCACTGTGCAGGCACAGGCTGCGCCTAAAGAGCATCTTTCGGTCTGTGTTAAACGTAAAGGATGAGCTGCCCACGAGGAATAGGCTGAGCCCTTGAAGATTTACCAGGGAAGTAGACAGCTGCCTGGCAAAGCTGCTGCTATTAATTAGAGAAGGAATAGCCCATGTCCTGTGCAGCCTCAACTACATTTAAGTGGCAGCCAATTGGTTTAGCTTTGCAAGCCCGTTCTTTATAGACCAGGACTTAATTTCTGGCTGAGAACATTGCTTGTGATTGTCATCATTGTAAAATCAGCTATGACAAGCTGAGTGAAGGAGTCCTAACTCAAATCATGAGGAATTAGCAAGACGAGGAGTTGTTTTTAATGGCTCTCTTAGCCTTGCAAGTGGGGAAAGCAAAAAGGAAAATCAGTTTGAAACCCTGAAGAGCTGTCGCTGTTTCACTGGACCTGACTGCCAGAATCAGGGTTGTCAAGAAGACTCCGAGTACATTCTCTGACTCTGGTAGGCTGCAAGAAGTGTCCCCGCACTTATGTAGAATGACTCTCAACAGAACTGATTGGGAGGGAAATTAATAGGCTTCCCATTGGTAGCACGCATTTTGGCCAGGATATTTCATTAGTGTAAACACAGAACCTGTTGTCATCTTGTTTAGCCACTTGACCCCAGCGATTTCCAATTCCCCGTGCATTGACGAAGTACAGGCGAAGGCGGTATGCAGGAGACAGGCACTAATTATTGAGAACGCTTGACCCAGCGCGAGATGAGCTGCCCCTTTGCAGTCCGCCTCCGGGGGTCTTGGCCCCATCTGGTTATCTCGCCTCCCCTGCCGCTGTTGAGCGCTTCTAGACAGAGCCACACATCCATATGGTAACACAGGCGATCTCTCTGTCTCTCTATTCTGTTGCAGGTCACCGCCAGGGGCTTTGGGCCGCTGTTGCAGTTCGCCTACACCGCCAAGCTGTTACTCAGCAGAGAGAACATCCGGGAGGTCATCCGCTGTGCCGAGTTCCTGCGCATGCACAACCTGGAGGACTCCTGCTTCAGCTTCCTGCAGACCCAGCTGCTGGACAGCGAGGATGGCCTGTTTGTCTGCCGCAAGGACGCCGCGTGCCAGCGCCCACACGAGGACCATGAGAACTCGGCTGGAGAGGAGGAGGACGAGGAGGAGGAGACGATGGAGTCGGAGGCCGCCAAGATGACTTGCCCCGGGGACCAGATGCTTCCAGACCCCATCCGCTTCGAGGCTACCCCCATCCCGGTGGCCGAGAAGGAGGAAGCTTTGCTGCCTGAGGCCGACGTGCCCGCCGATGCCAAGGAGAGCTCTGAGAAGGACGCCTTGACCCAGTACCCCAGATACAAGAAATACCAGCTTGCATGTACCAAGAATGTCTACAATGCTTCATCACACAGTACCTCAGGCTTTGCAAGCACATTCAGCGAAGAGAACTCTGGCAGTGGCGGCAGTGGTGGCGGCGGTGGTGGTGGTGGCGGCGGCAGCGGCAGTGGCGTCAAGTCCAGGCTCGCCGTGGGGCAGATTAAAAGCGAGCCGCCCAGCGAAGAGAATGAAGAGGAGAGCATCACACTCTGCCTGTCGGGAGACGAGCCCGACATCAAGGACCGGGCGGGGGACGTGGATATGGACCAGAAACAGCCCAGCCCCGCGCCCACCGCGGCGCCCCCGGCCGGGCCCGGTGGCCTGGAGAGAGCCAGGAGCGAGTCCTCGTCCTCCTGTCTGAGGTCTCTGTTCAGCATCACAAAAGGTGTGGAGTTGACTGGGCTGCCCAACACGCCTCCGCAGCACTTTGCCAGGGGTTCAACATGCCCTTTCGACAAGGGGATCTCTCAGGGTGACCTTAAAACGGACTACGCCCCCTTCACGGGGACTTACGGGCAGCCCCACCTGGGCCAGAAGGACTTGTCCAACTTCTCCCTGGGGTCGCCGCTCAAGGGGCCGGGGCTGGAGGCGCTCTGTAAACAGGAAGGAGAACTGGACCGGAGAAGCGTCATCTTCTCCTCCAGCACGTGCGACCAAGCGAGCACCGCCATCCACTCCTACCCTGGGGTGGGCAGCTTGGACAAAGAGCTCTCGGAGCCGCTGCCAAAGGGCCTGTGGGTGGGGGCCGGCCAGTCCCTCCCCAGCTCCCAGGCCTATTCCCATGGCGGGCTCGTGGCCGACCACTTGCCAGGAAGAATGCGCCCCAACACTAGCTGCCCGGTGCCAATCAAAGTCTGCCCCCGCTCACCCCCACTGGAGACCAGGACCAGGACTTCCAGCTCCTGCTCCTCCTACTCGTACGCAGAGGACGGCAGCGGGGGCTCCCCCTGCAGCCTGCCCCTCTGCGAGTTCTCCTCATCGCCCTGTTCCCAGGGAGCCCGCTTCCTTGCCACTGAACACCCAGAGCCAGGCCTGATGGCAGATGGAATGTACAACCAAGTGCGACCCCAGATCAAATGTGAGCAATCCTACGGAACCAACTCCAGCGACGAATCCGGATCGTTCTCGGAAGCAGACAGTGAGTCGTGTCCTGTGCAGGACAGGGGCCAGGAGGTAGGGAACCCACGTCGATTCAAGCGTGTGACCCACCCACTCAGTCCTTTGTCTGGACTGTTCCCACCCCTCCCACCCCCCACACCTTCTAGATTGTTCTCATTTGCGAAGAATCAGGGTGACCATGAAGGGGCTACCTTCCCAGCCACATGGGGAGCAGGAGAGTGGGGTTCAGGGTTCTCTGGTGGCTGGAGAGCTAGTACAGCGTTTGCCTTGCATGCAACCAATATGTGTTCAATCCTCAGAATCCCATATGGTCCTCTAAGTCCCTCCAGGTGTGATCCTTGAGTGCAGAGCCCAGAGTAAGCCCTGAGCACAACCTGGTATGGCACAAACACTCCCCCAAATAAACAAAGTAAAATAAAATAAAAGTAACCACTTTTGTGCAATTGCTGATCTAGCAAGCACTAGTTCATGGGCAGAGGCGATAAGTCCAGCCGATGTCAGTTTCCACCAGGACTTCAAACCCACCCCTGCCACTTCCTCCCATTCTTATCCATCTGCTTTGAAAACGTGCCACCCCATCACCCTTGTCCCTGCTTGTCACCCTGTCGAGGTAAAGGAAAATAAAGATTTCACTTGCAAAACTGATTGATTGAAATCAGAGAGATCCACACCAATAAAAATATTTTAAAAGTACTTTCCCAGCACCCTGACATTCCACTTGTCAAGGGAAGACCCGGAGGGCCAGACTGTGTCCATCATCATGCTGGTGACAGCTTTACCGTGCCAGCCACAGGGTCTGTGCAGAAGCACCAGCCACCTGTCACTGTGTGATGTCTTTCTCTAGGGTGGCACGAAGGTACTTTGAAGCAGAGTGGGTTTGAGTAGCGGTCTCTGTTCACCCTGAAAACAAAGTACCGGCGCTGGAGCGATACACAGGGGGTAGGGCATTTGCCTTGCACGTGGCTGACTCGGGTTTGATTACCAGCATCCCATATGGTCCCCCTGAGCACCGCTAGGAAGAATTCTTGAGTGCAGAGCCAGGAGTAACCCCTGTGCATCACCGGGTGTGACCCAAAAAGCTAAAAAAAAAAAAATGTAAGTGCCTCTTAGATAAATATTCCCTTCAAGGCAGCCCTGTCTGGTGTGTGAAGGCTGCCGCAAGAGCCAGGAGAGTGTGGGCTGGAAGCTGAGTGACTCCTCAGAGTTGCTGATAAGGAAAAAGCGCAGGCAGGCGAAAATGGGCCTGAAGCTGCCTTAGGCCTCCCTGCACCTCACCGTGCCTGGGCATTAACCTCGGGTTAAGCAGCAGCAGGCTCTAGCCCAACCAGATGGCAAAGTGGCACTCGGTGACTTTTCACTGTGGGTGAAAAGGGCCACATGTGGCTTAGTCAGCCTCTGCAAAATTGGCGAGGAGCACATGAGGTCTTTGTCCGGGCATGTTTTGGCGATGGCTTCCAAAGCTCCCTGCCCCGTGCCAGCCGCAGAAATTAGCCGCAGGGTTAGGCTCGTGTCTTTGCTCACTAGCCTGATCCCCGCTTTGCTGCTGCTGCCTGGCACAGTTGAGGAAGGACAGGAAGATACCTGGAAGGGTTTCCTTTAGCTGCAGTAGATGGTAAAGGACGTGGGAACCATTTCTAGCGGATGTACCATAACAGCTCAGATTGGGGTGGAAGACTGCTAGGCTTCCAAGCCATAGTTACCTGTGTTTCAGAGGATTTATGTTTATACAAATAGCCCAGTCTGGTGGTTTGTTTTTGTTTTTGGCTTTTTTGATCACACCCAGCGATGCTCAGGGGTTACTCCTGACTCTGCACTTAGGAATCACTCCTGATGGTGCTGGGGGACCATATGGGATGCCAGGGATTGAACCCAGGTTGGTTGCGTGTAAGGCAAATGCCCTACCCGCTGTACTATCTCTCTGACCCCCGGTCTTTTTTGGATTTGGTTTGGTGTGGGGAGCCACACCTGGTGGTGCTCTGTGCTGCTTACTCTGGGCTCTGCACTTAGGATCACTCCTAGCAGATTTGGGGAACCATATGTGGTGATAGGAGCGAACCCAGGTCAACTGCATGCAAGGCAAACACTCTCCCCACTGTACTGTTGCTCCAGTCCCCAGTAGTGGCAGTCTGTGCTCTCTTGACTCACTGCTGTCTGTCCTACTAATCAGAGCTTGTGCGGGTTTCCTCCCAAAGAACGTTACTCAGCAGCTCTGGAGCAAAAAGCCAAAGCCCCTGTCGGTGTGACACATGTGGAGACTTTTGCCAAGGGTTTGTGTGGCTGGAGAAGTGGGTTTGTGTGGCTGGAGAAGTGAGGCTGAGTCTGTTTTCTCTCCGTCTTAGGATAAAATGGGGTGCTACACCTTTAAGCTCATGGGGTGCTGTTTTCACAACAGTTTCAAAGAAGTCTCCTTTGGTCCTGAGTGCTACAATAGAAAGCTTAAGGTCACTTCTTGGAACAAAGTCTCACCCTGTCACCTCTGTCCAGATGAAATCACTTAAATGCCTGAGAACGTCTCAATTCTAAATGACTCGATTAAAAGGAACATTTTTTCTCTAAAATTGTCATTATTGGAACTCCTGGCAGGCTCAGGGAATCATGTAAGATGCCAGGGATTGAATCGGGTTAGACTTGTGCAAGGCAAAAGATTTATCTACTATACTGTCTCCAGCCCCAACCCTATTTCTATTTTGTAAAAAAAAAAATTTGCTGGGCTGGAAAGATAGAATGGTATTTAAGGCACATGCCTTGCACTCAGCCAACCCCTGTTCTATCCACCACATGGTTCCCCAAGCACCACCCAGAGTAAACTGAGTGCAAAGCCAGAAGTAAACCCTGAGTACCATCAATGTGGCCCCAAACAACCCAAAAAAAAATCATGTTTGCATTTGTAAGAAGAAGAAGTCCACTGAATAATGTTCCACAGTGACAGTGTTCCCCAAAGTGGGCAGTAGCACCTGCTGGAGGACTCTGGAGCACTGGGCCGGGGGGGGGGGGCTTCAGTAGTAGCCTCTGGGACAGTTTCTCTTTGTCTGCCTATAGAAGGTAGACTTACAGGGGACTGTGTGATTTTTCTCTTTTTTTCTGTGTAAGGGAACAGTAAAGAGCAGATAGCTTAGTAACGTCTGCTCTGCACCTATGTTATTTCAGGGAGATTCTTAGTCCCTTTCGGTGGTGCACTGGGGACAGGATTGTTAGAGTCAGACCAGGTTTTTCCCAGTTTGACAGTTCCATTTTCCCAGAGTAGAGGAGACTTAGTTTTCTGAGAACGCTCTCAGAACTCAGCATCCTAGTCAATCTATAAGTAAGTTGATTTCAGAAGTTCCTTTGACTGTGGTGGTAGAATATTGACACCCATGATAATACGGAGAGAAATTCTTCACAATGAGCATCATAACTTGCTGATCCAAGAAAAAGAAAAAGTCTTGGGCTGCTTCTGCCCTGATGTATCCCTGTATAAGGTGAATGAACCCTCAAGGAGACATCCGAGTCAGAAACCCAAGAGAGAGTCCCCAACTCCCAGCCAGCCGCCAGCCAATGTCTCCAGAGTGACAGCTACGATTTCCTTCCTCTCTCTCCTCTGCACAGAGCCAGAATGTTCCATCCAAAGACAGTGTGGTAGCATAATTGTCTTCTGTGAGATGATCAAGTTATACCCTGTTATCTCTTGCATCTGATCAACACTGATTTCACCCTCCTCTTTAGCTATTCCCTAGCTTTGAAGAAAGCTTAAATTAGCACACCATTGCCCTTTACCAACAACAGTCAGCTTTTTAAAATCAACTCTCTCTCTCTTTTTTTAAAAAAAATTATCCAATCTCTGTTTCCACAACACTCCACGAACATCTCTTCACATCTGTGGGTGGTTGGGTTGTATTTTAATAGCATTTACCATATAATTACTCAGCAACTTGCTTTTTCGGTGCAGCGCTCAGGCGTGCCCATGTCTCTGGGTTGGTCACATTGGACTCACACAAGCCACTTTAATATCCACAGCTTCCGGAATGCACGGTACCCTCAGCTATCACCTACCAACTGGCATTCCAGTTGTTCCCACTTTTTCCCATCTTATAAACATTGCAACAATGAATATTTTTGTGGACACATGCAGAGGCCATATTTTTATTTGAGATGACCTGTTTGTGGGGTAAGCGTTTTTAAATGGGGGCTGGAGCGATAGCACAGCGGGTAGGGCATTTGCCTTGCACGCAGCTGACCTGGGTTTGTTTTCCAGCATCCCATATGGTACCCCAAGCACCGCCAGGAGTAATTCCTGAGTGCATGATCCAGGAGTAACCTCTGTGCATTGCCGGGTATGACCTAAAAAAGCAGGAAAAAAAAGGTTCTGAAAGGCTGTATCCATTTACCTATCCTTCAGAAGTTTATAAATGTCTGTTTCCTTCTATTCTTTCCATTATAACTTGGCTTTGTTTTTTGAGGGGCCACACCCAGTAGTGCTCAAGATTGACTCCTGTGTATTCAGGGATCACTCCTGGTGGTCTCACTCCTGGGGACCCATCTGACATGCCAGGGATCAAACCCAGTTCAACTGCATATTTGGCAAACACCCTGCTAGCTGGACTATTTCTCTGACCCCTATTCTTCTCAGTACAACTTGTTACCATTCCCTGTTTTCCTGTCAGCTTGATGAGTAAGTGAGTATTAATAATATTCACATAATTTCTTGTGTGTTTTCACCATTCATATTTCCTTTCCTGTGAAATACCATTTTATATCTTTGCCCATTTTCCTTTTTGTTTATAATATCCTTAGCTTCCTTTTTTGTGGAAGGATCCTACCCATGGGTGATGCTCAGAGCTTACTCCTGACTCTGTGTTCAAGGATCACTCCTGGTGGGGAATGTGGGACAATCGTAGTACCGGGGATTAAACTTGGGACAGCTGCATGCCAGGCAAGAGCCCTACCCATTGTATTATCTCTCTGTCTCCATCTAGACTCTTTTTATCAATGGAGTCTCACACTCTGGCTTCTCTCACTTGGTATATTTTTTTCCTAAGATTCCTGTCTTCTCTTAAGATACCTGACAGGTACATCAT